TATTGCAAATTTGAGTCAAAATTCGAAGTTTGGAATTGTTCAAAATTCTTTGGAACGCGTTATATATATATATATATATATCTATATATATATCTATATATATATCTATATATATATCTATATATATATATATATATATATATATATATATATATATATATATATATATATATATATATATATATATATATATATATATATATATATATATATATATATTTATATATATTTATATATATATATATATATTTATATATATATATATATATATATTATTATTATTATTAAAATTTCCAAACTAGCAGTAACAACTGAATTACTTTGGAATTACAGGGTATAAGAACATAGGTATTTAATCTATTCTATATTTACAGGTAAAAATAGGTAAGTTAGATAAAAATAACGTTAGTAATCTAAAGTTTACTTATTATTATAAGCACGAGACGCAGCAGGAATGAAACTGTTCGAAAACGTTCAGTTCTACACCTAGGTACTAATAAGTTGGGATAAGACCTCAGATTATAAGTTTGAAGACTTTTAGGCGGTACTAAGGCATTCAGTTTATGAGTGGGTTCCAACATCTTCGAAAAAAGTCGCTTGCAATGGACAGTTCTACGTTCGTAAAGAGTCATCAAGTTAGCTTTAAGCAAACATTCAGCATAAATAGTTCCAGGGAAAATAATTTTTAATGCCCTTTTTTGTATTTTTTCAACTTGATCACTTAGGTAATGAGGAAGGCCATAATGCCACACCTGACAAGCATATTCGACAATTGGTCGAATATGTGTACAATAGGTTGAGATCAGAATATGAGAAGGTAAAGCATTTCTTTTAAGAAGGCGCAGACCGTACAACCGCTTCGCGGCTTTCTTGCAAATGTAGTCAATATGGCAGTTCCATTTGAGGTCGTCCGAAAGGACAACGCCCAATAGTTTGGCCTCGGAAACGACGTCGACCTCTTGACCGCGAATGGTAATTGGGGCAAACGATGGAGTAAGCTTAGAAAAGCAGACACGCAATTCTTTGGTCTTTGATACGTTTAACTTCATATTATTGTCTGATGACCATTCAGAGCAGCTGATGATGTTAGCGGGTAACTGGGAAGGGGAATTGTTTGATATTATTTCCCAAAGGCTAGTATCATCGACAAATTTAACAGTTTCATCCACTACAGCCAAGTCATTTATCATGATCAAAAATAATAGCGGGCCAAGCTTCGTTCCTTGTGGGACGTCGGCGTTTAAAAACTTCCACTCAGAAAAGAACTGACCAACACGGGTTCTTTGTTGTCTGCCTGTTAGGAAGTTTGCGATCCAGTTGAGTAACACGGGATGAATTTCCATGTCTTTCAATTTTTCCAACAGAATGTTATGATCTAATCTATCAAACGCCTTGGCAAAATCAAGTAAACAAATCCGTATAGTGTTGCCTTGTTTGTCAGCTGCTTCAAACCATTTATGTAGCATGTAGATTAATGCCATACTAGTGCTTGAACCCTTCAGCGAACCAAATTGCAAGGAATCAATTTTTTTTGAGACGGAGTCAAGTAGCCATTTGTAGGGAAAGGATTCAAGAATCTTGCTGATAATTGGTGTGAGGGAAATTGGTCTGAAGTCAGAATCAACATCTTTAGGAGGCGAAGATTTTTGAACTGGTGTAATATTTGCTGCCTTCCATATTGAGGGAACAAATCCTTCACGAACTGATGAATTAAAAATAGAACACAAAGGTCGACACAACACTGAAGCGTTTTCCCGGAGAAGCCAAGAAGGAATTTCATCGGGACCAGCAGATGAATGAAGTTTAGATGATAATAGGGCCTTTTCAGTCTCCTCGACAGAGATGCAGAAATCATCTGGAATGTCATTTGTGGGAAGGGGGAGCCAGTTTAGATTGGGTAAGGAGGACCCTACAGCAACGAACTTGTCGTTGAGCAAATTTGCTAAATCGGCATCAGAGTAGGATTTACCTTGGAACATCATTGTAGATACATTCTTAGAAGACTGAAGACCGGCAATATTCTTCACCGCTGACCACCATTTACGAGAATCGGACTGCTGAACGCCCGCGATACTTTTATTGTAGTAATTTAGTCGTGCTTTTTTGCAAAGTGCATTGACTTTGTTTCGATAGAATCTTTCGATGGGATCAGTTGCACTGCACATGCGAATTTCCCCCCAATGTACAAGTTTCTTCAACAGAATATAATTGAAAAACATAAAGTATACTCACCAAGAACGAGAGTTTCGGTTCTGTACAAGCGGCATATTTTTACTCCAGTTTCAGCATTAAACAACAAAAGCCGGAAAAGGTTTAGCTCTACAAAATTTGAATTAATGAAATTAGTTGAGAACCAAGTGTAACACACCGTTAGGAAAGTACGTCTCTTTGCCCTGATTACTAGGTTTTTCTTATCTGACATTATTTAATTTAAAGACTAAAGTTTCAATAACGGAAAACAAGGCTTTATAACCAAGGTGAGGTCCTCATGGACGCGTGTTTTGGAGGCTTTGATCGCGTGCTTTAGGACCTATGCAATTTGACTTAACAGTACTCTATCTAAGTAGCAGTTATTTGAAATAATAAGTTACGGCACCCGAACGGTTCAATATCTTGCTTGACACAGCATCTAAATCCATAAATACATTTACATCTTATGCAAATATTGTATATTTTCAAAATCTGCCAAATTTACTTACATTTAGAACCCAAGCTTTCGCCGCTCGCACGAAATATTACGTCGGTGATTTTCACTAATAATAATATGATAAAACATCATCCAATTATTTCATCGTTCGAAGCGCCGGGAAACCATGCTTCCATATATGGCCCAAACGTGTCCCCAAGTTCCTAATATGGCACAAACGTGCCTCCAAAATATTTCATCGAGGCCGTTGTCGTTCAGATAAGATTCGTTCAGCTCGGAACGATTTGAACAGGTCACGCGGTACGAAACCAGACCGCTGATTCGGTTAGCGAGTGACAACGCCCACTTTCATCCTACACTCTTATTATTAGTGAAAATCACCGACGTAATATTTCGCGTGAGCCGCGAAAGCTTGGGTTCTAACGTAAATAACTATGGCCGATTTGGAAAATATACAGTGTTTGCATAACATGTAAATGTATTTACGGATTAACATGCTGCGTAAAGCAAGATATTGAACAGTTCAGGTGCCGTAACTCTTTATTTTAACTGCGATTTAGATACAATACTATTGTTGTCAAATTCCATTGGTCCTATAGACCGTGCTTTGTCGGGTACCGTATACTCAATAACAAGTAGAATTAATTAGAAACTTCCAATAATGAGTATACCAAACAGACAATATGTAGTATTTCGTTCTTCATGTTTTACCCAAATTCCACTCGAAACAATCCTATTACCGATACAAACATCAAAATTTTGTATTTCAAGCTCGTAGCATTTGCATAGGTATATGCGAAAAATTTCCTCTACAGACTATTATGAGTTTGCAACCGTAGTTAAAAATCAGAGGCGTGCCGGAATCTTGGATAGAAATTAATCCTAGAAATTTCGAGTAAGGACATGCTTTCAAATTTCCATGCTCAACAGGTACATAGTCAGGTATTAAGCTATCTGGAGAATACGATAAATTTTTCAATCATGCAGATTGTAATATTCTCACACCAGCACTTTTTAATCTAATTATACGCTCTATATGGAAAATTGTCATCATTTCTAATCATGATGCTCTCCGAGACTGTGGGCTAAATTTTTCGAGGTACGTGTCGGCTAGATATTCCAAAAGTCAGTTCTTCAATTTAAAACAATACAGAGATGAACATTTTCCGCTGTAACATACAGTCTATAGTGCAAACGCCAGCCTATGTAAGTTGCACTGCACATGTGAATTTCCCCCCAATGTACAACTTTCTTCAACAGAATATAATTGAAAAACATAAAGTATACTCACCAAGAACGAGAGTTTCGGTTCTGTACAAGCGGCATATTTTTACTCCAGTTTCAGCATTAAACAACAAAAGCCGGAAAAGGTTTAGCTCTACAAAATTTGAATTAATGAAATTAGTTGAGAACCAAGTGTAACACACCCGTCAGGAAAGTACGTCTGTTCGCCCAGACTACTTCGTTTTTCTTATGTGACATCATTTAATTTAAAGACTAAAGTTTCAATAACGGACAACAAGGCTTTATAACCAAGGTGAGATCCTCCTGGACGCGTGTTTTGCAGGCTTTGATCACGTGCTTTAGGACCAATGCAATTTGACAAAACAGTACTCTATCTAAGTAGCAGTTGATTAGAAATAATAAGTTACGGCACCTGAACTGTTCAATATCTTGCTTCACACAGCATCTAAATCCATAAATACATTTACATCTTATCCAAATATTGTATATTTTCAAAATCTGCCAAATTTATTTACATTAAGAACCCAAGCTTTCGCCGCCCACACGAAATATTACGTCGGTGATTTTCACTAATAACAAGATGATAAAACATCATCCAATTATTTCATCGTTCGAAGCGCCGGGAAACCATGCTTACATATATGGCCCAAACGTGTCCCCAAGTTCCTAATATGGCACAAACGTGCCTCCAAAATATTTCATCGAGGCCGTTGTCGTTTAGATAAGATTCCTTCAGCTCGGAACGATTTGAACAGGTCACGCGGTACGAAACCAGACCGCTGATTCGGTTAGCGAGTGACAACGCCCACTTTCATCCTACACTCTAATTATTAGTGAAAATCACCGACGTAATATTTCGTGTAAGCCGCGAAAGCTTGGGTTCTAACGTAAATAAATATGGCCGATTTGGAAAATATACAGTGTTTGCATAACATGTAAATGTATTTACGGATTAAGATGCTGCGTCAAGCAAGATATTGAACAGTTCAGGTGCCGTAACTCTTTATTTTAACTGCGATTTAGATACAATACTATTGTTGTCAAATTCCATTGGTCCTATACACCGTGCTTTGTCGGGTACCGTATACTCAATAACAAGTAGAATTAATTAGAAACTTCCAATAATGAGTATACCAAACAGACAATATGTAGTATTTCGTTCTTCATGTTTTACCCAAATTCCACTCGAAACAATCCTATTACCTATACAAACATCAAAATTTGGTATTTCAAGCTCATAGCATTTGCATAGGTATATACGAAAAATTTCCTCTACAGACTATTATGAGTTTACCAGCGTAGTTAAAAATCAGAGGCGTGTTCTTATTTCAAAATTTTTTTTCTTGGGAGAATAACAAGAAAATTTTCTTAATAAGAAAATTCTTTTTAAGAAAAATTTCTTGTTTTAAGAAATTATTTTCTTAAAATAAGAAATTATTTTCTTATTTTAAGAAAATTTTATTATTTCAGGAAAACTTTTTTCTTGGGAGAATAACAAGAAAATTTTCTTAATAAGAAAAAAAATTTCTTGATTTGAGAAAATATTTTCTTAAAATAAGAAAATATTTTCTCAATTTAAGAATTTTTTCTCAAGAAAATTTTCTTAATAAGAAAAATTTTCTTAAGAAAATTTTCTTATTAAGAAAATTTTCTTGTTATTCTCCCAAGAAAATATTTTCTTATTTCAAGAAAATTTTCTTAAAACAAGTTTTTTTTTTCTTAAAATAAGAAAATGATTTTTTGCTGTGTAGTAGACATTCGTTTGTATCTACGTATTACAGAAAGATAAAATTATGTGTTATTTAGCCTACAGATCATTTTCGCGGTCGTTGCTACTCCAATATTTACGTTCTGCATTACTTACCATTGCATATAAGTCCATCACCACCGTAGCCAGGATCACATGTACAGATGTAAGATCCATCTGTGTTATTACAAGTTGCATTCGCATGGCAAGGTGAAACTGGTGCACACTCGTTTGTATCTACGGAATACAGACACATAAAGTTATGCATTATCGTTTCGGTGGTCGTTGTCTGTCTTGCATTCATGTCGTGCATAAATTTTTACCATTGCATGTAAGTCCATCACCACTGTATCCAGAATCACATGTGCAGATGTAAGATTCTTCTGTGTTATTACATGTTGCATTCGCATGGCAAGGTGAATCTGGTACACATTCGTTTGTTATATCTAAGTGATACAAAAGCATGAATTTATACGTAATTAACAGATGCTTTTGTTGGTCGTTGCTTGTCTTATATTGATGTTGTGCATAAATGTTTTACCATAGCATATTACATATACATTTTACCATAGCATATTACATATACATTTTACCATATTACAAGTTGCATTCGCATGGCAAGGTGAAATTGGTAAACATTCGTTTGTATATAAATATTATATCATATTTAAATATAATATAATATAAATTATTTAGCTAATATATATTCTATATAATATATATATATATATATATATATATATATATATATATATATATATATATATATATATATATATATATATATATATGCAGGGTTCATCCAGGTGTGAATTATCCCTTAATTAAAACTCATAAACCTGATAATCCCGCTAGAGTAATTACGTCAGGTTGTGGTACTCGTATAGAGAATTTGTCCTATTTTGTTGAAAAGTATTGTAAAGTTGTGGTTGATTCCATTTCCAGTCGGGTAAGGGATGCTTCACACATGCTTGATATTATAGATGAGCTTAACGAGATAGGCATTTCTGATGGGGACGTGTTGGTTAGTTTTGACATTATCAACATGTTTCCGTCTATTGATAATGATACGGGAATTGAACGAGTACGTCGTAAGCTTATGGATTTTGTAGATAAATTTGATGTACCAGTAGAATGTATTATTGAGGCTCTAGAATTATGTCTTAAGAGAAATTGTTCGGCATTTCGGGGACAATATTGGCTGCAAACTAATGGTACAGCCATGGGACCTAAGAATTCCTGTTCGTACGCTGATATTGTCGCCGAACATGTAGACAGAAGAGTGTTGGAATCTAAGACTTCGTATCCCGAGTTGAAGTCTTGGTTCCGATTCCGGGATGACACGTTCGCACTTTGGCGGGGTACAGTGTCGAGACTTAATGATTTTTTTGAGCTTTTAAATTCGTTTGACGCGCATTTACAGTTTACCATGGACGTGGGAGGAAGTTCTTTGCATTTTTTGGATCTTCTTATTTCTATTTCCAATAACCGGTTGGAAACATCAGTGTATAGTAAGCCCACTGACCCGCACATATATCTTAACGCCAATTCGTGTCATCCCGGTTCGCAAAAACGTGGCATTGCTAAGGGTGTAGCTTTGCGGTTACGTAGGATATGTTCCGATGAGAATGATTTTCGGGAAAGAAGTAAGGAATACATTCAATATTTACTTGAGTGCGGACACGATAAAACACATGTTGTAGAGAAATTTAAAGAAGTTACGGATATAACCAGGGAAGAAGCTCGCAGGAGTAGAAGGAAGGTTGACGGTGGACATTGTGTTTTTAGTGTCAAGTTTAATCCTAGGGCCCCTGATATTCGTGAATTGTTTAGGAAACATAGACCGGTTATAGATTATGATCCAGATGCTAGAGAGATTTTGCCGGATAGAGCTCTTCGTGTCTCATATAAGCGTAATGCCAATTTAAAAGAATTATTAGCACCATCTAATCCGTATATTAATAAGAACATAGGGGATTCACTTGGTTGTTATAAGTGTTCGGCCAAGCGTTGCGATTGCTGTAAAAATTTTCTTGTTTCTGGAAGTAGTTTTCGTTCAGTGATTACCAAGAAGATTTTTAAAATTGGTAAATCTCTCACATGTGGATCTGAAAATGTAGTATATCTTGCGCAGTGTGTGGCTTGTGGTCTGCAAGGTGTAGGTTCTACCATAAATTTTAAGACCCGACTTGCTAATTATAAGTCACACATAAAACGTGAGCGGAGAACGTGTGCTATTGTCAATCATTTTTTGGATTGCCATGGTGCTGACCACTCTAGTTTAAAATTTATGTTGATTGATCAAAGGCATCACACTCTTAGAGAATGTGAGAATTTCTGGATTGGTACCTTGTTAACCAACCAGGGGGGACTTAATGGTCATCACGACTTCGTGCAATAATAGTACCAATGCATTTGTATTTACCATCTTGTAATTAGAATTTCTAATTAGTTTACACATAGGATATATGAGAGACTTATTTGATTTAGTTTGTACTTAGTTTCTGACGAAGGCTGTTACATGCAGTCGAAAATTAAAAAATTTTTGAATTATATATTCTAATTTCTTTTGGTCGTGGCCTTTATTTTGTATATATATATATATATATATATATATATATATATATATATATATATATATATATATATAGCTTAAGATTTTGGTTTACGAAACACAAACAGTGCTCAATACCAGATAGAGCGTAATATAGTTTTTCGTTTTACCTCAAAAAACCACAACAGTCTGTTTCATCCGTATAGGAATCATCAGGTGATTCCTATACGGATGATGATGATTCCTATACGGATGAAGCAGACTGTTGTGGTTTTTTGAGGTAAAACGAAAAACTATATATATATATATATATATATATATATATATATATATATATATATATATATATATATATATATATATATATATATATACACATATATATACATATAGAAAGGTCATCAAGTTTAGATTAGGGTAAGAGGTTAGAGTGGGGTTAGTAGGTTTCCCTTAAATAGAGGATTATCATCTATTTGCACACTTTTGACAAATGATTCTGTTCATGCATCTATTTATCCCTGAGACTGTGCTGAACAGCAAGAGGATAAATATATATTTGCTCTTGTCTGTACATGCGCTAATGCATAATTATAATCACTGTTAAACTGAACTGTAGACCTAGAAATCATGGGTGGGTCAAAACGACCCACCTTGGGACTGTGAGGGCCAGACGGGAAAATCAGTGCACATGTTGCCGACTTCTTTTTGCGCCGGCAACGCAATCAAATTTCATCCGTTGCGTTCCCTACGCGAGAGAAAAATCGCACGTGCAAGCCTAGCCCTACATCACTGATAGAGGATAATGTAGGTATGCGTACCTAAGGTCATGATTACTTTTTTGAAGTGTTCCAAGTATTCTGTTTTTGGCAAGACAAAGATTTTATGGACTTTCCTTCTTTCTTCAAAGTCAATCATCAACCAGTGCGGTAGAGCACCATCACCGTCCGTAAGAAATTGATAATAATTAAGTATTCCATCAACGGCGTACTCTGACTTTGCGCTCTCTCCGTTCAAACTTGAATGATGGGTTGGCCTTTTAAATGCAACGTTTACTAGAAATAGAAACAAAATCATTTACACATCTGCCTGATCTCTGGGACCGGTTGTTCAAAGCTGCATGGTCAGCACTATAAACCTGGATAAAAATTTTAACTTGGGTAAAAAATTTTAACTTGGGTAAAAAAAGTTTAACCTGGATAAATATCGAGATTTGGGGGGCATCTCGCTCGAAAAAAACTGACAGTTGAAGGGTTTTTGTAGATGGAAATTTCGAACTTGTGATTATAGAGCTCAGTTTGTTAGAGCGCTGCACCGGAATCGCAGGGCCGCAGATTCGATTCCTGCCAGAGACGCTATATATTATCATTTATATAGACCTGGAGCGAGGGGGATTCGGCCAAGTATTACCCGCGCGAAGCGATGATATTTAGCCCCGAGGGAAATATCATCACTGAGGGTAATATTTCGTCGAATCCCCCGAGCGGAGGGTCTATAAATGATATATTAATACCGAAAATTAAAAGCCTCCAAGTTGAGAATATAAAACTGCCCACATACCTTCGTGAATTAGCCTTTCTCGCGAAGGCCAAATTCGCCATTTTTGGGGTACTTTTTTGTAAATGATATAAAAAATCTAAGCGATGTGAAAACAATTTTTCAAATATTTAAGGGTAAATTAACTTATGATTATACTCACACCAATAGTAATACAAATCCCATATTTAATGATTACAATCTCTAATACGATGTTTTATTTCTTATTAACGCAATATTTGTCACTTTTCGTTTGAATTATATATATATATCGTTTGGAATATTCATGATAACATTTGTTAAAATTCGCTTCAGAATTTCAAAAAACCCCGAGGTTTTTTGAAACTTATATGAACTTAAAGGGGCAGCGTCACGGTTCTACTGCGCATCCAAAATATGCGCGAACTTGAAAAACTGTCTACCAACAATTAATCAAGTTAGGAGTGGAATACGATATACTATTTATAATCCCTTCGTTATGCAGGACATCCTTGCTTTGTTTTAAAAATTGTAGGCTGCTGCATCTTTTCCAATCATGTAGCATTAATTTTAAACGTTTCTTTGCGCCGTATATTTTAGCCAATCAGCGCCGTGACACTTATTAAAGGTAATAATAATTCATCACTATACTTTCAGTCATGCTAACATGTGTTTCCAAATTACTAGAAAAATTATGGATGAAAGAGTAATCAAATTTGTAGAAAAGAATAATATCTTATCAATATGGATTTAGAAAAAATAGATCAACAGAGCATGTAATTATTGAACTAACTGACAAAATACAGTTTTTTTATAAAATGGAAAATTCACGATTTAGATCCATGTTTTTGGACAATTATATATTTTTATATTATACTTGTTAAAGAAACAAAAAGTATATCTTACTGATGTAAATACAAATCTATTTTCTCTTATAGTACTTTTAAAATTAAAATAAAAAATCATTATATATTCAACAATGGATGTATAATGGTTTAAAATATATTACCACTTTCTTTACTGTAAATATACATATATAGTATCCTCCACTTCGAATATATATAATTAAGTTTATATGCATGTTAATGTTTTATTTTATACTTGTTATATACGCTTTTATCTTTGTTCAATCTCATATATTATTCGAACTGACTAAATAGAATGAAATAATGTAAGTATAGTCTATAGGGGTCTTAATTAAAAAGCCTAGTAGGTTTCTAGAAGGCTCCTAGCCTATCCAAAACAATAGAAAAATAAATGTAAATAACTTGATATTTTTTACGGGCGTAATAAAAACAAAAAAAACAAACAAAAAAAAAAACAACATCTGAAATTCTGTTGAGCAAAAAAGATTATTACGACTGATAATCACTTAATTAATTTGAATACATTTGGCTCAGCAGAATTTTTAGAGAAATAAGAGAAATCATTTTTTTATTAAGAGAAATCATTTTATAAAATAAAATTTCAGCTTAATCTATGTCATTTACGAGTCGAATTACTTTAAAACCATAATATCCGCCATTTTGAAATCTCATTCTTGCCATAGCAACGGCAGTTGTTTTTGTTTTTTTGTGAAAAAGTTCAAACTCTTAAGATGTTGCTTTACAAAACTAAGATACTTTTTGTTTTTCAACAAGCAATACTCGTCCAAAAATTCGGATCTAAATCGCAAATTTTCCATTAAAAAAACTGTATTGAACCACCTTTAGAACCGGTCTCTATATTAAGGACAGTTGTATGTACCGGATAGTGATTTTTTACAACTTTCTAAAATTGTCCATTGATTTTTATGACCTCTACTTGAACTTTAGTATTCAGAAATCAAAGTTTTTGAATATACCCAAATGATGGCGTATGATATATGGGATACAAATTGTGGGGAAATAAATAATATATTTTAATTTTTGGATACAAATTACAATACACTGGCAAATAGCCTTGTTAACTCATTAATATTCCAAGCTCTCCTGGCTCCAAGATCTTTACTATGTTAGCGATCACAGAACAGTGGCAAGTTGCAATCTAAACTTACGAGTTGGTTCCTTATTCACCATGACTTCAAGTAAGACAAGACCATATATAACAGGGGGATTAGCCTTCTTAACAGTCACAAATTTGCCATACAGCTCACAGCGGAATGTGTGCTTGGGTATGTTGTTCATGTTTTTAGGTTCCCCGCATGGAGGATTAGTCTTGCCTCCATCGTCATTCAGCCTCTCACCTAAATAGAAAACTTACAATTAGGGTAGGGAAAGAAGGGGCGGGAGGTACCCAGGGGTGGAAAGAGTGTGGGACAACGGGACCATTGGCCCCAGAAATTTTTTTTGAGTTTGAGGGAAGCCAATCAAATAGTCTGAGCAACTGGTTGGTGCTTCCCCCTTTCTTACAGTCCAGTCAGAGGCTTTGTTTTACAAAACTTTTGTCAATTTCAACTTGCAATTTGTTCGTGTCGGTTGCAAATTGCTCGGAGCAATCTGCCTATCAAAATTGCAATATTGTGGGACAATATTGTAATGTTGCTCGCAAGAGAACATCCGGTTTGACTGTAATTATACAACTTAGAGAATGTATAGTAAATAAATAAGGGGCCATTCACAAAGGATGTCCAAGCCGAGGGGAGATACACATGCATATGACGTTATACTGTGTATATCTATAACTGAACAGACAACGGGAAAATGTAATCTATTTGTTAAATTGTACATGTGTGTTATTCTACAACTACATCAAATACCAGGATTCTGTGGTAATTTCATTTCATAATAACAAGAATATACAACAATTTCAGCAAACTCATGATGCATATTTGTGACGTATAGAATCCTTGACACGTATGTCAAATTAACTGAAATATCTCGATCGAAAACGAAGCAACGGAACGAAAAACTATAGTTTTTAAAGTGTTTTTTTAAATAAGACAATAAAAATTCTCGTTTCACATACACGTTAAGGTTACAGAACACCTTTGAGTGTTAATTTTCCCTAAAATTTTTTTATTGGTTTCAATGAAAGCATTAGACTAGGTCTATTATCTGACCAAGTTTGGACGAAAAAATGTTGAAAACTCGCAGAGTTATTTAGCAAAATACATTTCGCTGCAATAAGAAAAACATTGAAAATGTAATATTCAAATTTAGTTTTCTCCCGAAAAATTTTACGGTAATTACTGATTTTCAAACGAGTTGTGCTCCTGCGGGTTTTAACCAATTTTTCTCAAATTTTCACAGGACATAGCTAAATTATGTTCGGCTTTTTTTTAAATTTTGGATATTTTAAAAATAAAGAGCAATTCACTCAAAGAATTCAGAAATATATTGCAGTCGTCAAAGAAATCGCCATATCAGCGGAATGACGAAATAAACAAAAATTTCCGAACACAATTTTTTAGAACAACTATTTTACTGTATAAAAATGATATTTTCATAAATATAACTTAAAACCAGCAGGAGCACAACTCAAGACGCGATTTAAGATTTTCCTGAATAATTCTTACATTATTTTATTGTTTGTTAATTTTACAACTTTACCATATTTTGCATGCACTGGAGAACATTTGGTGAAAATTTGATGAAAATCGGACTGATATTGAGCACGCAGTAGCGATTTTCCGCAAAACGCAAAAAGGGTGTCCTGCATGTAACCTTAAGCTCTCTAATATGGCATTGGGTCCGTTCAAATGCTGTATGGCGTTGAAGCTCGTTTTTGGTTTATGTCACAGTATGATAGAAATTCTCTGTCACAGTATGATAGAATTTTTTTGCTTTGATAGAAATTTAATTTTTCCGAGCCTGTCTTGACCCCTTGCCTCAGGTGGCTTACCACACTTTGTCTGAAGGAGTAAAATAAAATCAATAAAATCATTAATAGATCATTATACATACCGACTCTAACTTCAAAGGTTTCCACTTGACCTGCACAGCAATCACGCCGGCTTATAATCTCAACAGTTTGAACCAAATACATGTCGTCCAACTCGACATACCAGTATGGGTCAGGATCATATCGTGGAATAGTTGCAGCAAAATGATGCGCCAAATCATCATCATCTACTCGCCCATCCACAGCCATCTTTCCTTCAGTGTCAGAATTGAACTCGCTCGATTCACCAGTTTTCTCATGCAGGGCAAGATTTGCCGAACACCTAAAAATGACACACAGCGGGTTGGTTTAACTAAGCACTATCATGTTAGGGTTTTTTTAAAGAAAAATTTAGATGTTACGATGATGTTACCGAAAGCTTCAGGTGTTTGACGGGGGGGGGATTTATTTATCTGAATTAGATTCAGTTTAACGTTAAAAGTTGTAAATTATGATAGACTATAATAAATTACATAGGTGGCAGAATAATGGTTTGATTGGGTGGGGGCACAGACAAACTCGATTTTAGGCGGGCGTGTTCAATGGACATGTTTCTCCTGAAAATTGAAATCTAGAGTCTGTTAAGTTCTGGCGACGATTTGCCTTACCCAACGCACAAAAACTCACGTGACGGAGAACCACAAATATTGAATATAATAACCTTTTTAAAATTTGCATTTCAGACAGCGAATTATATTAAAGTTCTCCAACTCTAATCTCGTTCGGGGGGCTTGTCCAAATCACACCGTTCCTTTCGTCGCCTCAGCACGTGACTATAACTCAATAACTATAACTTATGCTTCGTATACGCGATTTACCTACGTCACTGAATTCACAGCGCAAGATTGAAAACAGTCAAAGCACGGTAAATTTATTCAAAATTAGACAAATTTAACGCTTTTTATTTGTTACAACTATATTTATTGAGATTCCTATGCTTACACAATTCGCAACATGGCGAGGTTTGTCCAAATCAGTGACGATAATGTAGAAAGGTTCAATGAGGAACACGAAAACGAAAATACGAGAAAAAAAGTTCTACGACACAAAAGTGTTCCTTGAGTTTCTGGTGGCCGAAGGCGAAGGTGAACGTAGAAAAATCGAGGAAATCCCCCCGAATGAGTTGAAGAACCTGGAAAAAAGGTTTGTCTTAAGGGACCGGTCATTATTTATGGCGGGGGGTGGCACCGAAGAGAAAACGGTTGGGTAAACAAAATTTTGAGTGAGTAAAAGGTTGGGTAAGTGAAAAACAAAACCACTCAAAAGTTGGGTAATAAAAATTTATTGTCAATTCCAAAGCATGACTCACTCAAATATTGAAGACTGAAAACTTCAAAGTCAACAGTCATATGTCAATACAATATGTGAATCAATCTATATCTTCATCATTTTCCGATTTGTTGGGAGACAAATGGTGTCTCCAAAGAAAGCAAATGTGCAGACAACATGAAACTTTAGACTGCAGAAAAGTCAGTAAATTTCACAAGCCGAACGTTATCAAACTATCAAACATTCACAAGCCGAACGTTATCAAACGTATCACAGAAGTGGTAAAGGACTACTAAGAACGTCTGCGAGGAGACTGTCATGTGTGACAACTGAATGACATCCTTTTGTAACGTTTTTGGCCAGGGGTGGGTATTTATTTTTTAAATGATACTTGAGGTTGGGTAATCAAATTTTTGATTTTTTAATGGTTGGGTAAGCAAAATTTTTGCCACGAAAAACATTTCTCTTCGGTGCCACCCCCACCATAAATAATGACCCGTCCCTAAAGGACATTGGCAACCAAAATTTTTATTGCTTCATCTGAAAGAGCATGAAAAAATAAGCCGGTTGGCCGTTTGATGCTCTATTCTATCTCATCTAGTTCCGAAATTATACGCAAAAATGCGCAAAATAAAAATTGCTGATTCAGCACAACATGTGACGTCATTAGTTGGGTCGTGGTTGGGTAAGTATGTTTATTGAATAGTAAACTGAAGCATAACTCAGGTATTACGGGCCCAAATCAAATGAAATTTTGCATACTGATTGTACATGATGAGACGCATTGAAAAACGCTTCTACGAGACGCATTGAAAAACGCTTCTTCCATGATGAGACGCATTGAAAAACGCCTGGGAACGACTGTGTTGCCTTGACAACAAAATTAGAAGTATTTTCCCATGCGTCTCTTTATGTACTATCTGTATGCAAAATTTCATTTGATTTGGGCCCATAATAACTGAGCTATGCTTCAGTTTACTATTCAATAAACATACTTACCCAACTAATGACATCACACGTTGTGCTGAATCAGCAATTTATATTTTGCACATTTTTTCGTATAACTTCGGAACTAGATGAGATAGAATAGAGCATTAAACGGCCGAGCGGCTTATTTTTTCACGCTCTTTCAGATGAAGAAATAAAAATTTTGGTTGCCAATGTCCTTTAAATTGAATTAAGTGTCCGAAAAAAGAACGGCGAAGTGTTTTGACAGTGTTTATTAAAAATTTGTCTTGTTGGAAACATTTTTCATAATTATTTTTCAATAATTACCTGATGTATCTTTCATATAAATATGTTTGTGTAGTGCAGTTGCTATCATACATGCATGGCCGTAATATAAAACACGATTTGCTTTAATTTGAGCGTGAAATTTCTACATTTTTTGCTCGAGACTATATAATAAACAGAACATTACACGTACAGTGGTTTGAAGATATGACTTTTATCTTCTCGTGTTAAAAACAATATTTCACCACTCGAAAATAAAAGTCATATCTTCGCGCCGCCGTGTAATATCCTCTATATACGCGGGTTTTCCCATTCTCATTTTTGAGTCTGTCATTCCTAGTAACTCAAATCTCATTTTCCCAGTCTGGGGTGGAAGTGCATGGAAAACCAACGTCAAGTAGTCGGCAAATTATTTTATTCCAGTCGGCAAATTGTTTTTCCAGTCGGTAAAACATTAATTGGATAGGAAAGAAAACAACTAAAATATTTGAGTGAAACTGATTAAAAACTAATAATTCTTGCTAAAATTTTGGCAAATATAAGGAAATATTAAGGAAAAAGTAAAGGAGAAACAGTACATGTACAAAAATATGAGAAAAAATATCCCATGCAGTTCCCATTTATTGTGCGGAGGTAAATTCTTTGATTGGTTAGAAAAAAAAGAGGACATATAAACATGCATATTGCAGTACCTTCCTCAGATGCAGTTTTTCGTACCATAACGGCAATGGCCTTAAAAAAGTAATAAAATATTATCAGTCTTCAAAATAATAAATTGATACGCGCCCCTATAGTTACATACAGGCAAGCAAACAGAATGGTTTTCTTTTTACACACGTATAAAAACCCACAAGTTGTAACAAACCTGCAGCAGACTTGTAATGTGTAGATTCAAAAGATTTAGCAAAAAGAATATTTGTTTTTATTCTGCCCAAGTTTATACTTGTAATGTAGCCTAAAACATTCCTACGGCGAGTGGCGTATATTTAAAATCTTTAAAGATAAGTGATCTGTTTTCTTCATGCAAAACAAAATAGAGATATGCAAAATTTAACTAATGAAGCTTACCAAAACCAGTGCAACTTGTCGTCGCATGATTCGAGTCTTTGACTTATAGATTTCAAAGGTTGAAACTTGACAAGTGAATGAATCCGGTCGTTCAGTAACTACTGCATAGACAAGTAATTCTCGTCAAATACTGCCAGAGACGCACATATTGTCTGTCTAGCTTGGTTACACACATAACTGCAGGTCCTGTAGAGTAATTATAGCAACAGCTATAACCACAAAAAGCAACAATAAAACAGGTATTTCAAAAACCATTTACTATTCATGACTAAATGCAAAGGGCACAGTCAAGCTTGCGCCGTTCATTCCCTCAGCAAATTTTAGAGAGGTTCAGATTTTAACTTTCACTATACCGCTACCATTAACCAATCAGATGCATTTATTCTACCTGATTAACCAATCAAATGCATATTACACCCGTGCGAGGTAGTGGAAATCAAATCTGAACACCTCCCTGATGTACCGGATTATAATTACTACAGACGTAAAAACACGCAAGTTCTCGCAGATCTTCAAACAAGTCATGTAACAAGGTTGTCAAGCCGATATCAGGATGTGTTCGCACTGCTTATTTCTGGAACAAGTCTGGAACAAATAAGTTGTTATCACCTTGTTACAACGTCGATGACGGTTAAAGAATTGAGACTTGCCACAAGTTGTTCGAACAAACAAGACTAATTGCAGGATCGATGTTCCGGCAGTGGCGTAATGGAGGAAGAGGGGGGCCCTTAGGTATACAGGGTGTATCAAAATAAACGCAATTCATATTTTGTGCTTTATAACTTTCGAAATACTATTTCTAGTTAAACGCTTTTAGGCTTACTTCAAAGCCTGTTCTTTTCTCTTTCAAACAAACTATTATCCTTGTCTC